GGCAGGTTGATTACTTTAAACAAAGGCAACATTTAGTTCTTAGTGGAATACAGTCTTACTCTAGATATGAATTTGCCTTCTCTGCATGAAACGCTTCTACCAAAACAATCATGCATGGGCTTACAGAATGCCTTATTGACTGGCATGGTTTTCCAAACAGGATTTCAGATCAAGGAACTCACCTCACAATAAAAGAAGTATGACAATGGGCCCATGTTCATGTAATTCACTGGTCTTACCATGTTTCTCACCAACCTGAAGCAGCTGGTTTGTGAGAATGATGAATGGCCTTTTAGACATTCAGTCACAACACCAGCTAGGAGGCAATAGCTTGTAGGGCTGGGGCAAGGTTCTTAAAAAGGCTATTCACAATCTGAATTAGTATCCAATTTATGGTTCTGTTTCTCCCACAGCCAGGATTCACAGGTTCAGAAATCAAGGGGTGGTAATGGGAGTGGCACCACTCATTCTTTTACCAAACCCAAGTCTGGCTTCCTGCCTCATACAAAAATCCTGGCACGGCTTGCCAAAATCTGTTACCCCAAGGCATTCAGCTCCTGGCTGAGGCTCACCAAAACCTTGTTACTGAACCCAAGTCTAGCTGCCTGTCCCAAACAAACAACAAAAAAGTCAAATGTTGGTGGAATAGGAAGTCAGTTTTTATTCAGGAGTACCAGCGAACTGAGGAGAGATGTTAGGCTAACCCATCTCTCCAGTAAAGCTAAAGGAGAATGGCCAGACTAAAACCATCTCAAAGGCTCAGATCTACTGAAAGGTTTTTAAAGAAGGGGTTAAGGAAACAAAATGTAAGAAATGAAAAGCAGAAGGGAAAGAAGGGCACATGTAGAGGGCCAGGTGCAAATTCTTGCCGAAGTGCCATCTGGCTTCTGTTCTCCCCCTTGGTGTTTTCTTGGGGTCCTTCTGGATTCTGATTTACTTCAGGGTGGAATCAGCATGGCTTTACTGATGTCTTCCTTGTTTTCTCAGGGTCTGACAGTACGTGTCTTGTGGCAAGTTTACAACTCCAGGCTGACTAGAAAACAACTTTACATTTATGTAAATAATGTCATCTTGCCCCATAACCAAGGTTCAAAATATCAAAAAACCATGGGAAAAGAGGGAAAAAAAGAAATTCATTTTAAAAAAAAAAAAAAAGGGACAGGGTTTTTTTTTTTCTTTTTTCTCTAAAGCTCATGAGCTTTAGAGAAAAAAAAAAAAAAAGGGACAGGGTTTTTTTTTTTCTTTTTTCTCTAAAGCTCATGAGCTTTAGAGAAAAAAAAAAAAAAAGGGACAGGGTTTTTTTTTTTCTTTTTTTTTTTTTTTTTTTTTTTTCTCTAAAGCTCATGAGCTGTTAGATCCCAACATGGCTTCAGTCCTGCTCACTCTAACAATTCTCATACTCCTAATGACCGTAGCAAAATATTTGCTTTCTGTTTCCACAATCTTATGCTCTCCTGTCCTAGAGGTCTTACTTCCAAAGGGAGAAATGCCTCCATGAGGAGACCCAACATGATCCCATTGTGATGGAAGTTGAGACTGCTGCCCAGTCACTTTCGACTTCTCATGCATCTGAATGAAAAGGCACAGCAGAAATTTACCGTTATGGCTGGGGTGACTGATTCCAACTACCGGAAGGAAACTGACTAATACTCCACAATGCAGGTAATGAAGAATATGTCTGGAACACAGGCAATCTCTAAGGTTGTCTCTTACTATGTCCAGTGATTAAGGTTAATGTAAAACTACACCCACCCAGTTGAGGCAGGACTACTGATGGTCCTTCGAGAATAAAGGTTTGGGTCACCACCCTAGGTAAAGAACCACCACCAGCTAAGGTGCTTTCTGAAAGCAAAAGGAAAACACAATAGATAGTGGAAGAAGGTAGTTATAAATACCAGCTGTGACCCGTCACAGATGACCAGTCACAAAAATGTAATTATTATATTTCCTCCTCATTTGTTATGCATATGTTATGTGTGTATATAAAAACTTTTCTTTCCTTTTTTATTCTCTTATCATGCAACATGATATGTACTGACTTTATTTCATAGCATGTAAGTGTCATTAACTTTATATAATAGTATATAAGTTATGGGATATTAAAGACGAGTAATCATCACTCAAGGATTTTACTTCCTCTTTGGATAAAAGCAGGATGGTTGTATTATGTTAGGCAGAATTATGAACTTGTTATTGTCTTTATTTGGAAATTAAGTATGGTTTAAGGAGATGCATATGGGCACCAAGTTCACAAGGAGTAGATTTGTAATGGTTAATTTTATGTGTCGATTTGACTGAGCCAGACATTTGGTTAAACATTATTTCTGGGTGTGTCTCTGAGGGTGTTTCCAGAAGAGATTAGCATTTGAATGAATAGACTGAGTAATGCAGGTTGCCCTCCCCAGTGAGGGTGGGCATGATCCAATCTGTTGAATGCCTGAATAGAACAGAAAGTGAAAGCAAGGAGAATCCACTCGCTCTGCCTGACTGTTTAAGCTGGGATATCAGTCTTCTCCTGCCCTTAGACTGGGACTTAGGCCTTCAGCACTGCTCGCTCTCAGGCCTTTGGCCTTGAACTGGAATTTGCACAAGCAGCTCTTCAATTCTTAGGCCTTCTAACTTGAACTAAAACTTACACTATCAGTTCTCCTGATTCTCAGGCTTTCAGACTCAGACCGGAAATATACCACTGGCTTTCCCGGGTCTCCAGCTTACAGACTGTGAGACTTCTTAGCCTCCATAATCACATGAGCCAATTCTCTGTAACAAATCTCTTTATTTAATAATAATAATAATTTTATTTATATATATATCCATATTTATATTTAAATATGGATATATATATCCATCCTCTTGGTTCTGTTTATCTAGAAAACCCTGACTAATACAATGTCCTTCAGTAGGTGAATGGATAAACTATGGTACGTTCAGAGAATGAAATATTGTTCAGTGCTGAAAGGAAATGAGCTATCAAGTTACAAAAAGACATGGAGAAACCTTAAATGCATATTGCTAAGTTTAAAAAGCCCATCTGAAAAACTACATACTATACTGTATGATTCCAACTATAAGACATTCTGAAAAAGGCAAAACTATGGAGACAATGAAAAGATCCCCTGCAAGAGTTAAGGGAAGAAAAGGATGAACTGGCTAAACACAGATTTTTAGGGTAGTAAAACCATTCTGTATGATAGTACATTGGTGGATACATGTCATTATACAGTTCTCAATACTCATAGAATGTCCAACACCTATAGAAAACCTTAATGTAAACTGTGGACTTGGGGTGATAATGATGCATTAGTGTAGGTTCACAGGTTCATTGACTGTAACAGATGTACCTCTGTAGTATGGGATGTCTGTAGTGGGGGAGGTTGTGCATGTATGGGAATTCTCTGTACCTTCTGTTCAATTTTGTTGTGAAGTTAAATCTGCTTTAAAAAATAAAATCTATTTTAAAAAAAATGTTGTTACCTAGGATTTTCAACAGAAATGGCCATATTCATTGAAGGTCTTAGTGTTCAAATTGTATATTCAGTAGTCAGTCTCTTTGACATGATAGTGTGATAAATAACAAAAGAAATTTAGTAATACTAATTCAATTAAATTATTTAATTTTTAGGTAATAATGAAAAACATCCTATCTTCTAAACAAAGTTAGTTTAGGGGAGAACAAGAGATTATAAAATTTTAAATCAATATTAATGATCCTGAACCCATGTTAGAAAAAAATTAGTATATATCTATGGTTCAATAATATTTTAAAAATTTAAACAATTAATTAAATTTTGACAGTGGAAATTGAGGGAAGAGAGAATTTTTTCATTAACGAAAAATTTTAAACCTCATATTTGAATCATCTTAAACTGCTAGGGATTTTATATTTTAATAGATTCATTTAGCTCAGAATGTCTTCAAGCACATTGTAAATCTTCTGGAGTCCCTGCTTTGTAAAACAGCCTGCTAACATATTCATTGTCTTTCTAAGATAAGTTCACTATTGCTATTCCATTAGTCTGTCTTGTGATTTATTTTAAAGACAAAATTAATGTTTTCACTTTTCATTCATGACTATTTAATCCTGACTTTTTAATCAAAATTTGATGGCCATCATCCCATATTAAAATGCATTCTTTCCCCTTCCTATATACATTTTTTCCCTTTCATAGTAAATCCTACATCCTGACACAATTGTTAAGACTTTTTTTCAGTAATTATATTTGGACAGATTTTTTTTTTCCTGAACTCAGTTTCTTAATAGTTTCTTAATAATGCACACTGAACATTTTTAGACATAGAAAAGATCTTACTGGTGCATTATGGGAAAGAGTTTGCTTCACCAATTTTTTTTTTTTTTTTTTTTTTATTTTACCCTTCTGTAACCCTGTGATGGTGTCATAGAATTTTACAGGGGAAAATTTACGTGCACTCCCACAATATAAATGGAATGCCAGCTATGCGTGATGTGCTACTCAAACAGAAGTCTGTTACCCAGAAGTGAGACAGAACCTACCTCAATGACAAGGTTTTTACATTGAGAGGCCCAGTAAATATTGCAACCATAAGGAGCTACGGCAGGGAAGATAATCTGTTGCAAATATGTAAATGAACAGTTTTGCCTCTCTGATCTTTAACTTTACCACCAATAAAACAAAAACTAATGTTTTTGCCTCCAGAATTGCTGATGATTAAATTAGAAAATGTAAGTGAAAAATTCAGTGTTAAACATGAAATACATTATAAATATCAGAATTATAATAAATAATAATTTTGCAGTCTCAGAATTATGAGAAAAATATAGGCAGGCAGAGCAAGAAGAGATAAAAGAAGAAGAAAACATTGACTATATGTCTAAGATTTGAATGAAAGTGAGAGCTATATATGTTTCAAAATCCTTTCATCCCAAATTCTTTATTATGTATGAGTGTCTGGTATGGTACCATGAAGCATAAAAATCATAAAGCCTGTTGAAAGCTACAACACAAAGAAAAGAGCCAAGAAAAGAATATGAATAATTTAATCAGATAGAATTCAAGTTTATCCCTAGCTCATTTGCCTTTTATTCTTCATTTCAGTTAGTTACATTTACATCCATCATCACCAAGGTTGGGCATGCACCTTGAAATGTTCACAAAGGTCCACGATACAGGGGTTCATAATTAGGTTTTATATATATAATATTCAGAATCCCAGGGGAACTAATAGATTCTGTAAATATTGATTAAGCAAGATGAAAAATTCTTATACAGTTTCAACTACAACAGTTTTAAAGACGATACAAGCTTCATTTGCCACAAAGTCACAAAAAAGTAATTGATTGAAGAATATCTCTTTTATGCAAAATATACATTTTAGGATATAATTTGATTAATATTCTACTATATACTGACATTGCTCCTTGATCATTTAATAAAAAAATACTCTCATTGCCAGAATTTTAATTTTTGTAATATTTATAATTGAGGTAACAATGACAAAATACTTAAATGATGGAAAGTGCCAGTGAGTTTCTTGGAAGCTGTAATGATTTTCCATAACTAAACAAATGTGCAACTAAAATTAGGTCAGTTTAGATAAATAGACACTGAAAACACAACATAATTGACAAGCTGATAACATAAGTGGTTTATAAGAAAATAAAACAGTCAATATTTATAGGTCTAACCAACAAAGTAGAAATAAGGAAAATTAAGACAGACCTATACTACATCAGTATCAATGTGTTGTATAATTCCCAGCACAACCTACTGTGGGCCCATGAGGAGTAATTCAAAGAAATATGAACCTTACTTGAAGCTTCAGAGATGTTGGTCATGAATTTGGCTTTCCTTGATATGAGATGGCCACAGCTATTGACCCATGCACACGTTGGTATTTACAGTAATTTCATGGACTTAGCCAGTCTACAAGCAGACCACTCATATGGGGAGAACCAGATGAGTTCCAGTCACAGTTCTTTTATAAGATTTAAATGCTTAATGAAGATGCTGGAACCTCTTCCAAGTGCAACTTGGTCACATCAGGGTACATTCAGTAGCAGAAGTCTGTTTCCAGTTGTCTTGGTATGGCTAAATTCCATCGTTTCTTTTTCAGCAGTCAAAAATCCATGAAAAATTCTTTACAACACTGTAGTCAATAACAGCAGCACTGGACAGCATTTTAATTCCTTTACTCTGAATCTGTGTGTAATGATAATATTCCATGTGTGCTGTTATCAAAAGGATCAGTGCATCTCTAAATATTAGATATCTATGTCTGGGTAAATACATTGCTGTACAAGATCTCTGACATGCAAGTCATGCTCTCGATTTGGGGCATATAGAGTAATACATGTTCCATGACCAATAATAAAAGTGACAATTGTCTTCCTAACCAAAATTAAACATGACAGTTAGGAACTGATCAACAGCCTCAAGGATGCTGCGTGCTTTAGAAGTATTGTTTATTCTTCAATTTATATTAGGGCACTTTTCTTTCCTCTCATGCCCAATATACCAGACATAGTATTACTATGCATTCATAGGGATGTGTAAACAGACCTTCTTCCACTCAGACTGAATCAGACTCCCTAGGGATTTTGTTAAGAGTGTAGTGACGAATACTGGTTGCTAGGTAGTAGAAACTGACCGCAGCAGGCAACTAAGGGCAATGGTGAAATTGCTGCTTATATCTTGCTTATCAAAAAGATTCACAGTGCCGATTAATTTAGGTAGTCTACAGGGCATCATTAATTAATACACAAAGGGGAGAGCCTATTCCAAATAGCAAAGAAGGCAGGAGACGGGGGCTGGGTACCCAGTACTAAAATCATAAACACTTTGTCTAGGCATTTCTGTGCTTCATAGAGACAGGTGGCATACACGGTTAAGACAGGGAGCTAAGGCAGACAGAAACATACAGGATATAACACCCGATTAAAATGAAAATCTGATTAATTCTTTCATTCAGAAATTTAAGGCTAATCAAAAAAGCCTCCTGTGAACACCAGTGACCTTTGATGTTTGCACAAAAATTAACGTAAAAATAAAAGAATGGGGTAATAAAGACATGAAAGCTTTGGGTGCTATTTGGCACTCTGCCTCTGAAAATGATGACAAATCCAGGGGTACTAAAAAAAATGACTCTAGTAACAAACAGTGATTCCTGGCTAAACAATTTAAGCCTAGCTGATAGTCACCTTTCTCCCATGTTTTGTGCCCCTTCCCTAAGTCATTAAGTAAGAGGTCTGCCTTCAGCTTGCACATAACCAGTAATGACAACCTCTTTGCAGTTTTGTGTGTGCAAACAACCAGAGACATTCAGAATTGCAATACAGCATTTTTGAAGAAAAATAAATCAACCAAAAAATTAACCTATGTAAAGCAAATACTTCTTTCAGAAAATAAGGAAAAAAAGATATTAAGGAAAAACTCACCCTCCCTGCCCCACAATTCAACACGCAGAACAGTTGACCAGTGCTTTCATATCAGCAGGATGGTTTGATGCAAGTACATGTATCCTGAGTCATCCACGGTCCCCAGATTCTGCAATATTGTTTTCAGGTGATATAGACAATGTGGTCCATGAAAATAAGCTGACAAAAGTCATGTTGTGTGCAATCAAGATAGGATCCCAGACATCTTCAGAATTGTTTAGAGTCACAAGAAATGAAGTTCCAATGAAGTGGTTGGCATCTGGAAGCACACTGTTTTAAATATATCTCCCTGAAGATATGTTTACGTATTAGTATACTGACCAATATCTGACACTATCTGTCATTTTATTGCGGAAGGAGATCAGGGCAATTAATATGGAGAAGTAGTAACACTACTTTAGATAATCATTAAAGACAGGATAAGATTCATTAGCTACACAAGTAGCATTTCCGATTTCAAATAGTAGTATCATGCAAGCTTTATAACTGTATTAATGGAGCCTGGAGAAAATCTACATTTAATTATTTCCATTATGGGGCAAACAGTAACAGTAATTGAATTAATACAGTTTAGCCGACTGATGCAGTTTGGTTTACAAGATAGACGGGATGGGAGATCGAGAGCGCCTCAGAGGACAAGGAGAGTTGTAGGGTGATGTTACTGGAGAGAGCCTCAGAGCATTGCCTGCCAAGCCCGCTATGTTGTTTAAGCTTCGGGACTTTTCATATCCTTTTATGAAAAAATGCACAGACATCAGTTGAATTCAACCAGAAAACAGACACACACAAACAACACCATATAGGGTAATCAAAAGTGTTATTTTTAAGTTTAAAGAAAAATTCGTTTACAAAGAATTCAATATTGAGACAATTTGTATCTCTAAAAAATAAATAAATAAATAAATAAATAAATAAAGCTCACTGTAGCTGTCATTCCCAAAAGACTGAACCAACTATCACAAATTACAGTTGTAAAACTTCAAAATATGTCCTTGCCAAGATTATAGTTAGCATTGATGTAATTTTGGCATACAGAATATCAGAACTCTTTTAAGAATTAGGCAAAGCAACTTAAATAAGATATAAATTTGGCTATTACTTTTAAATTTTGGAATGTGTTCCTGAAAAAAAGAGAAATAAGTGGGTTATATTCTCTTTTTATTTTTTATTATTTGCTAAGCTAATAAGGCATGCTTAACTTTATGTGAACAATTCTTTTTCCAGTGTATTTAGTCTTCCAGCATTACAGGGTTAAAAGGATGATTCTTAAATAATGGCATTTGATGCTATTATCTTTGTGATGGAGGATGGAAGGCCTATTTCTAATCCCTTGGATGAAAAAACATAAGAACAAAAGAAGAAAAGAAGAAAATGTATAAAACATAAATTGAGTCATAATTTCAGTGAAATAAAATCTGAGTTTGATTACATGATATTTTCAACTGACTTCTCCCTGCCCACCCAGGAATTGAGAACAATTTGATCTTAATTTACCTCTCTTTCTATTATCTTGCATTCTAATCTTTTGTTCATAATAGCCATGGATTTGCAGAATAAACGATCCTCTCACAAACTTTAGCCCAATGGCTTTTCTTAGCTACTCAGGCAACACCTCATCAAGATCACCTCTGGAAAGATTCATATATTGTAGTATTTTTTATTACAAAATATTAGAGGCAGTTAAATGAGGTGGGGAGCACCTCATGTAAAGCTTTAAGTGAAATATCTTAAAAACAAGGCAGCTATGGACTAAAAACGCAGTCATTTTACACAGATTTGGAAATGAATGCTCTGACAGCTTCATTAAAGAACTTTTATAGAGCAGAAAATGAAATTCCCTTTGGACAACCAAAGTCGAGCAAGTACAATTCCAGCGAACTTGTCTCCTTTTGACTGTATGGCACCCACCATGGGCCTGAATTAGCCCTCTGTGCTTGATGATTGTGTAAGAATGAAAAGACTCCTTTGTTTTTCCTCATATTACTCCCAGCCATTTTTTCCTTTAATTGTATCTTTTCATGGAACTTCCAGGGAAGAAGTCATTACTATCTCCATCGGTCATTTCATTAAAAGAGAAGTTATTTTCCTGATTATTTGATTTAATAGAGGCCAAGACAAATATAGGTATGGACACAATACTAGCTAATCTGAGATAAGCTGGACTGGATAGGAAAACACCCCACCATCACCACCACATACACACATGTTAACTTCCAGCAGGCTAGATGTCTTCTTTGAGATTTTGTAAATGGAAATTTATGCCATCCATTAACTATGGTAAAGTTCTCTAGGATGTAATTTCTTCTAATAAAAGAATTATCTGCCAATGTTCTGAGCTATAAAACATGGGAGGTGATATATCTTTTATTTTATGCTGGTGGATGATAGAACCTTTAATGGGAGCATGTCTTAAATAATTTTTAAAATTGTAGGTAATTTATTCTTACATAGGGAACTTCAAGTGCCTAGAGAGCTAGTTATTATTGTTATTCTGTAAAGTGACTAAGAATATAACTTCGGGAATTGTAGAAAAAGTAATTAATCCTACACAAAAGTTGGCTGTTTAATCTAAAAATGTAAACTAGACTATGAACATCGATTTGTTTTGATGAAAGGCAAACTGGTGAATATGCATGAACCAGAGGGGCTGTTAAAAACCTATAAATCACCATAAAAATTTACATCTTTGTCTCCAACAATTTCCAAGCTCCCTGCAGAACCTCCAGAAAGGTAAAAATCTGCTTCAAAGTTTTATATTAATCATACCAGTAATATGTAAGTCTTGGTTGCTATTCTAAATGTTATTTTTCTGAATTATAGTTTTTAGCATAGATATTTTCTACTCATTTTACAGGTCCTTTATTTTTAACGACTATAATTTCAGTGTCCATTTGAAAAGGCTTTCTTTCTAATTT